CTTCACAGAAAAACTACTCAAAATAATCAACCAGTTTAGTAAAGTAGCAGGATACAAAATCAACACACAAAAATCAGTAGCCTTCCTATACACAAAAAATCAATCTGAAGAAGAAAAAATAAAAAAAAATCTCTTTTATAATTGAAACCAAAATATCAAATACTTGGGAATAAACCTATCAAAAGAGGTGAAGGACCTATACAACGAAAATTATAAAACACTGTTAAAAGAAATAGAAGAAGACACAAAGAAATGGAAAGACATCCCCTGCTCATGGATTGGAAGAATTAACATTATTAAAATGGTCATCCTGACAAAAGCGATTTACAGATTCAATGCTATTCCAATAAAAATTCAATGACACCCTCCAAAGAAATAGAATAAATATTGATGAAATTCATATGGAACCACAAAAGAAAAAAAAAAAAAAACACTAATAGCCAAAGGAGAATGGAGGTAGCACATTCCCAAACTTCAAACTGTACTACAAAGCTATAATAATTAAAAGTTTGGTATTGGAACAAAATAGACACACAGACCAATGGAACCAAACAGAGACCCCAGAAATAGAGCCACATTTATAAGGACAGCTAATCTTTGACAAGGAGAAAAGAATATGCAGTGGAACATGGACAGTTTACTCATAAATGGTGCTGGGGAAACTGGACCACCACAAGCAAAACAATGAAACTAGCTCACTACCTCCCACCATGCACAAAAATCAACTCAAAATGGATAAAAGAACTGGACATAAGACCTGAAACCATAAAATATATAGAAGAAAATATAGGTAAAACACTACAAGACATGCATCTCAGTAACATCTTTTTTAAAAAAAAAGATTTATTTATACAAGAACTGGGTACAGGCCATAGGTACAAGAGGGTGAGAGAATTCACCACAGACAGAGCAGGGAGCAGAACAGGCAGACAACTGAAATATTGCTAAGGGAAGCAGTGGACAAGACAGGAAAGGGCTGCCACACCATTTGGTATCTCCCTGGTTGGCCAGGAATCGAACCCACGCAGAGGTTGCAGATGCTTCACAGCACTGTGCTCAACCTGCCAAGCCACCAGGGAGGCCTCAGTAACATCTTTAAAGACTCATTTCCCAAAGCAAAGAAAGTGAAGGAAAAGATAAACACCTGGGATTGCATGAAAAGCTTCTGTACAGAAAAAGAGATATTAACCAACACAAAGAGACACCACACTAGTAGGAAAAAAATTATGCACTCCATACAACTGAAAAGTACTGATCACAAAGATACACCAAGAACTCACATGACTCAACAAAACAAAGTAAACAATACAGTAAAAAAATGAGCAGACTAGGGCCTCCCCGGTGGCGCAGTGGTCGAGCGCTGGGTTGTGAAGCTGCCTGCGGCCTCTGTGGCACCGGTTCGATCCCTGGCTGCTCCCCGGCCACCGGAGGAGGGTCCCACATGGCGCGCAGACCTCTCCTGCTGCCAGATGCTCCCCTCAGCAGTGTACTTCGGTCCTTCTGCCTGCTCTGCTCCCCGCTCTGGCTCTGGTGAATTCTCTCACCCTCCTGCACTTCTGACTGTACCCAGTGCATGTGTAAACAAAACAAACAAACAAACAAGCAAATAAATAAATAAACATGCCTCTATTTAAAAAAAAAAAAATGAGCAGAATAGGGGTCTCCCTGGTGGCACAGCATTTGAGCTACCATATGACCCAGCAATTCCACTTCTAGGGATCTACCCAAAGGACACAAAAACATTGATTCAAAAAAGAACACCTGTACCCCTGTTTATTGCAGCAACATTTACAACAGGTAAAACCTGGAAACAACCCAAATGCCCAAAAACAGATGACTGGATCAAGAAGATGTGATATATATACACTATGGAATATTATTCAGCAATCAATAAAGATAAATTCTTGCCATTTTGCAGCAACATGGCTGGTGCTAGAAGGAATTATGCTCAGTGAAATAAGTTAGAAGGAAAAAGAAAAATATCGGATGATTTCACTTATAGCAAGAATATAGGGGAACCAAATAAGACTTCAGTGTAAAAAAATAATAACAGTACAAAACACAACAAAGCAAAAACAGGTAATTATAAATTAGAGACATCCTGCAGAGGAGGAGGAGGGAGAGAATAAGAAGGAGGGAAGGAGGAGCACAGTGGACTGTGGCAATGGTGCACAGGTGGATTGGTGAAGGAAATTCTATGGTGACTACACCTAGGGGGGAAGAAAAAATTGTTTAAAAATGAACAATGGGACCTCTCTGGAGGTGCAAGGGGTTAAGACACAACCTATGAAACTATCTGCAGTCACTGCAGCATGAGTTCCATCCCTGGACAGGGAGCTACCACATGGCTCAGCAGACCTCTCCTGACTTGCCTGCTGCTTCCCTTCAGCAGTGTATTTCAGTCAGTCCTCCTGTTCTGTTCCCCACTCTGTCTCTGGTGAATCCTCTCACCCCCCACACCTCTGCCTGTACTCTAGTTCTTGTATATGCAAACAAAAAAATCTTGGGGAAAAAAATGAACAATGATGTAAAAATTAAAAAAAAAATTAAATAATAAAAAAAGTGTTGGTCCCATGGGTCTTCCCTCTGCCATCTCCATGGAAGGACATCGTAGTTCAGGTGCTGGAGGATGAGCTCATGGACCTGGGCCTGTCACCAGCCTTTCTCCCTGAGGCTGTCCTCCCTCAGCCAGGAGCCAGTGACAACATTGATGTGAACAAACCAGCAAAAGTCCACGTGGTCAAAGATGCATGAGTAAAGCCAATGGAGTTTAGTCAAGTCCATCCCAGGTTAGCTGAAGTCTCCATTGTAAATACAATCCATTACTATAGGCCACTGAGATGTTGTCTGTGGTCATTTGTTACACAGCATCACTATAGTGATAGGTAACTAATAATAATGTGATAGACATATTATTAATGTTCCTGACATCAATAACAGACTCGACATGAGTCTGCAGCATGGAAGCTTGGAAGCCTCTTCAGTTCCCTCTTCCACTTTGAATTCTGTGACCCAATTCTATTCATTTAATTGGGTCTCGTTTCTTCTTTTTTTTTTTAAGATTTATTTATTTATTTATACAACCACTGGGTACAGTCAGAAGCATGGGAGGGTGAGAGAATTCACCAGAGCCAGAGCGGGGAACAAAACAGTCAGACTGACAAAATATACTGCTTAGGGAGCAGCGGGCGCTGCAGGAGAGGTCTGCATGCCATGTGGGATCCTTGCCGGTGGCCGGGGATTGAACAGGAACTGCAGAGGCTGCAGGCAGCTTCACAGTCCAGCACTCAACCACTGTACCACCAGGAGAGGCCCTCATTTCTTCTTTTTTTTAAGATTTATTTTTATTTATTCATGCATACAAGAACTGGGTTGTAGGTGAGAGGTGCAGGGGTGAGAGAATTCACTAGAGACAGAGTAGGGAGAAGAACAGGCAGGTTCACTGAAATACACTGCTGAGGGGAACAGCAGGTGAGACAGGAGAGGTCTGCCATGCCCTGTTGGTCAGTTCCCTGGCCAGGGATAGAGCTCATGCCTCAGTGGCTGGTGACAGCCTGGTAGCTCAGAGACTTTAACCCCACCAGGGAGGCCTCTAATTGGGTCTTATTTCTAAACCTCAATGATGGATGAACTCCTGTCCACACTCAGCCATTGTGTGAAGCCAGCCCTCCTTTCCACAACATAAGTGCGTTTCACATCTCCAGTAATTGTCCCCTCTCTTTTCCTCCCCACTACTGCCAGAGTCATCATTCTAAGTGCTATTATGCTGAAAATCTTCAAAGATCCACATACAAACACCACAACATGCATACTAAGACTCATATCTATGACAGACTTCCTCCCCAAACCTCTTCTTCCTGTGTTGTTCAGATTTTTTAGCACCTGTGGCCTCAAGGCCCAATACCCCAAACCCAAGAATTTAACTGCTGTTGTCCACAATCACCAGGCACTGTGACTCCATCCTCCTTTCTTCATCTGGTCTGATGGGCTTTATGGAACTTGTCTAATAAAATGACATCCCAGCTCAAATACCTATGTCATATGGAGTTTTATGATTACCTTTGGTAGTATTAATCAACCACCCTCCACCTCTCCACCATAGAGTCATAACACGTTTTCATGACAGTATTGTCACCTCACAACACCCAGCTCCTCACTCTCCTCCACCAGCCATGAGAACACCATGTGAGCAGATCACACACCAAACACACGCTCCCCCAGGTCATTTACATGGGCTGTTCCTCCACATAGAAATTCCCTCTCCTATAACGTATAACATTTCTATAGCCAACATTGTTGTGTGATATGTAGGGAAGCTATTAAAGGACAAACTCCAAAGATTTTTTTCTTCACAATGATAAAAATTTTCCTCTTTTGTATATTTTTTTTCTTTTCTTTTCATTATACCTATAATAGAAAATGGGTGTTATTTAACCTATTATGGCAATCATTTCACTGTATATGTAAATCAATCATCATGCCATATACCATAGAATTACACATGATACCTATTAATTATCTGTCTATAAAACTGAGGAGAAAGGAACACTCACACATCAGATATCTACTCAGCTGTATTCCCACTTCCCTGGAGTCTTTGCTCCCATGGCACCAGCCTCAGCTACTATATATTTCTGCAACCTCCCCTCAGCCCCAGCCCCCCATTGCTGAGCCATTTCCCTACTCCATTTAGCTTCCTGTCTTCATCTCTTCTCACTTCCCAGCATCATTTATGCCTTGGTTATTATTATGATTCCTCTATCTCCTACTACAATATAAACTCACAGAGTAAAGAACTTTATTAGATTTGCTGATGTATCCAAGTGTTTAGAACAGGGCTAGGCAAGTAATAAATACCCTTTATATTTACATTTAATAAAGCATGAATTAATAAGCCTATTTGTACTCATATGTGAAATAAAAAAACTAAATTCCATTGCCCTTATTTTCTCCCCAATTCCAAAACTCCAGGACTCTGAGATATTTAACATGTCACCAACCTGCCACCTTCAGCTCCAAGCTGGCTTGCCCATGGAAGACTCCGTTGCTGAAGAAGCAGGTGTACAGCCCGTTGTCAGCAGCCTGGACCTTGTGGATGTGCACAGCAGCCTCCCCTATGCTCAGTAATTTTCCCACCAGCGAGGTTCGCCCTGTGTACTGGCCATCAGCTTCTCATTCTGCTCCTGTCGGTCTTGATAGGTGAACACTGACTCCAAGATATTGGACCGGAACCACCTCAACTCCATGTTATCTGCATTCATGGCTGGGTATAAGGAGCAGGGCAGTGTGGCATCCTCACCCAGCACGGCCACAATGGGATCCAAAGGGCCAAATACACGGAAACTCTCTATGAGAACAGACATGGGAGTTAGAAACATGAGAGATACACCCAGAGCAGGGCACACACACCGTCACTGGGGGAGGCCCAGGCAGGATGAGAGATGGTGTCCAATGAGAAGACAGCTGCCCTGAGGATTAGTAGTGACAATTCTGAGTCTGAGAGTGATCTTCCAACCACAACCTGTGGTCCAGAAAAAAATGTGAAGGATGTTCTCTCATTCACTGTATACATGATAGGACCTTCAATGAAGAGCTCTAATTCCATGGTTTTCACCTTCATTATCACAATCACCAGAATGGTTTATAATGCAAAATGAGGGAGCCCTACCCCAGATGTGATGCTGTAGATTGGGATATACCCAAAAACATGTATTACAAAGATATCCAGTGGGACAAAGATGGTGTCAAGGGAAACTCATAATGTCATTGCACAGAGGATCATTAATGTGAATGAGTGAACAGGGCATCCAGAGAACACAAGGCTTGTGATAAAACTGGACACTCTCATATAGCAGTCACCAGGAAGACGGCACCAAGAGGGATATAGGATAATCATGCTTTACTGACCATGTTTCAAAAACTGTAGTGCTGTCACTCAAACAGTCACGTGACCCTGGGCAGCGCAAGCTGACAGTGAGGAGGCTCACAGCTCTGACTGGGTGCTCCCAGCTAACAAGGTCCCCAGTGAAGAAACAAGGCACAGAGCTGGATGCACCTCCACAACCCCCTCCTCAGGACTGGCCCGCCCTCCTGAAGCTCAGGGACAGTGGTGCACAGGGCAGAGTCTCAGGACTGAACTGAGAGAGGCGGGTGTCAGGGGTGCCACAAACATGAGCTCACATGCCCCAGCCAGAGCACCCACCCAGAGGCTGGATGACTGCAGCCCCACAGTCTCTGACTCAGCATCTCAAGGATCAGGTCTCTAGATCTGCATAAGTTACAAATCTAAAAAGACATAAAACTACAGGGTCACCTGATAGAAAATTAGGATTAGTGCAAATCTCTTTAAACATCTCAGATGTTTAAAAAAAAAAATAGGAAATTAAAGCAGAAAAAAAGCACCAGAAACATGCTTCATAGCAACTTGAGACCACAAGGGAATATGAAATCACAAAGAGAGAACAACTGTCCAATATACAACTACAAAGAGCTGGAAGATCTTATCTTTCTATCAAGTACAGTTCAAATTGCCATAATAAGAAAGTCAAAGAGATGGAGAAAACACAGAAAAGTGAATCAAATAGATAAAACAAAATTCAGAAAAATAAATTGAATTTCTTGGGAAATAAATCAGTAAACAGAAAATAAAAACTGAAGCCTTAAATTAATATCACAGAGATGAAGGCTGTAAAAAAGATCAAGAAAGAAGCTACTCACTCCTGGGGAAGCTACTGGAGCAGAGTAGACCAAAGGGAAGATGGAATCAGTGACCTCATGATAATAAAGCACAAAGGAAAGAAAAGAGAAAAATGAAAAAAACTGCAAGAACTAACTAACTGCATGAGGAGAGGCATCATCAGCATAATGGATACTCCACGACTCAAAGAGAGAGAGACAGGAACAAAGTCATATCCAAAGAAATAGAGTAAAATATACACACACACACACACACACACACACACAAAATGAAATAGTACTCAGATATTTTTTAAACAGGTCACACCATGCCTTTAAAGCAACATGGATGGAACTTGAGGAAATTACTCTAAGTCAAATGGACTAAGACAAATGCTGTATGATTGCACGTATTTGTGGACTAGGAAGAGCAAAAAATCTATTAAACAAAAAATCAAACCTTTAGAACTGTCAACATGTAGCAATTACTAGAGGGGGAGGAGGGAGGAGGGAATAACTTGGTGGATAATTATGACGGGAACTTTGGTAGCTGGTGTGTGTGAAATGTACAAGTGCTGGGGTGAGAAACTGTATACCTAGAATCTATAGTGTGTAAATTAGTGTTCTTTCAATTACAAATAAAGAGGTTTCCCAGCCTGCTCCCCAGACAGACCCCTTGTCCTAATGAGGCCTGGGAAGGATAGGACAGGACTGTGATGTCCTCAGGAGCCCCCTGCACCCCCAAATAGCCACTTCTCACCTGTGCTGCCCCAGCTTGGCCTGAGCCCCTCCTCTCTCACCTGGAGACACACAGACTAGTCTCTCCTGCCACCCCCAGTCTGGGCCCCTTTCACCTGGGAGCTGAACCAGGTCCTGATCTGCTCACATCCTGGCAGGGGATCTCCATCCTCACAGTCACCCCCAGCCCCACAGGGTTACCCCTCACCAGGCCTCTGACACCCACTCCTGTGTCCCTCCCTCTCCCTCTGCTCCAGCTGACCCTCAACCCTTCAGTCCTTGCACACCCTGCACCAGCCAGCTCCCCACAGACTATTCATTCCATGGGACTTCAAACCCCAAACACCCCATCCCCAGAGCTTTGCTCCCATCCCACCATCACACTGACCCCCTTGATGGACACAGCTTCCCCCTCAACATCCCTCTCTCCTCATCCCTCCTTTCAGCTCTGCTGCTAGGTGAGGGTGGGATGGGTTTCTTGCATTTATTATTCACTGTCTCCTGTGAGACAACAAGCTTTCTGAATGGGGATCTGTCTGTTATGTACACAGAACCGGGCACATGGCTGATAACTTTAAAATAATGGTGAAATGGAAAGTAATAGTGACTGACAAGATTTTCCAATATACGTAGAGTCAAAAGCAAAAAATGAAGGGAAAGTTATTTCACATTTTTTCATAGTTGACTTCTTGAAGAATCACAACCCCCTGACTGAGCAATTGTCATCCCTCTGCCTCATGTTACAGTTCAGTGATTGCTCTTAACTGAGTCATCACATGAGTGGTTGGAGAGCACCCCCATTTTCTAGAGCCAGGGCCCCCACTCAGCCATCCTTCCTGAAGGAAGAGCTCCCATAGCCCCTAGGCCCCACCAACCGGAGGGAGACACAGGACAGGGAGGGACACACTCACCTTGGGATCCCCCAGGGGGCAGCTGGAGGAGGAGCAGCAGGGAGGGGAGGAGGCAGAGCACAGAGCTGGGGCAGGAGCAGGACACCATCTCCTCAGGGCTAGGGAGAGACAGGGCAGGAGACAGCTAGGCCCACACAGAGGAGCATGGCAGATCTGGGCTCAGGGGGAGCATGGCCCAGGGACCCCCACCCGCAGGAGCAGGGGTCCTTCAAGTGGCCCCTTAGGCCCTGAGACCAAGGAAGACAGACTTGGCTCCTCTCAGGGCTTCTGAGCCTTTGCGCTGTTAGAAACCATGAGGTTATTGGAGAAAAACATCCTCCCTCTCTTCCCACCCTGTGGAACCCACACCCCAGACCCACTCTACTCAGAACCCCAGGCCCCTCCTGGGTCTGGGATGCAAAGAGCCCTTCCGTCCCCATCATCACACCCAGTTGTTACCAGCCAGGTGCAGCAGTCTGGGTGTCAGGGGTTCCTGAAGGATGGGAAGGCATAGGCACAATTGTAGAGAAATGATTAGGGAAGAGGAAAGGGGAATAAGGAGACTCAGACACTTGATCAGGGTGTGAGCATTATCCTGCTGAGGGTCTCAGCAACCCTTTATACATTTCAAGCAAACCAGGAGAGTGCATAAGCATATGCATTAGGGCAGGAAGATAACAATCATCACATCTTTCTCAGGAACAGCCAAGGGTTTATTTGCCCTCCTGCAGAGGTCGTGACATTTATTATTTTTTGATTTAAAGAAGGCACATTTGCTAAACAAAAGTGTTCTTAGAATAGTCATTTACTTTAAACAAGCAAACAGTCATTTTATTACTACCAAAAACTTATGTGACTGAAACTAACATTTCTATGTTTGCCATAGTGAAGGATTAACTAAGGGCTAGGGGAAACAAAGGGCAGGAAGTTACCTGGGGGAAGGGAGACAAAGGGATTTTTTCTAACTAACCTATAAAGTTTAGACTAACATATAACCAAACAATTAAAGCAAAAAACAGAAGGCTTTTATGTAAAAATCATCATCTATAGTATATTTTTATATTGATTTGATATTAAGGAACCAAGGGCCTGGAGGGCATTAATGCCAGGCAAGCCACACTGACTCTCCCTAGCTCTGATTAAGGGAGGAATTCTCCTAATCTAAACAAAGAGTTTTCTACCTATTACTCCTCTACTTATCTACTCAGCCTTGTTTATGTATCTAACTTTAAGATCAAAGGACAATTTCCTTTTTCATAAGATTGCTGGTTGTTGTTTTAAGGAACTACAAATATTTCATCAGGGACAGGGGCTGAGATGGAGCTTTTGATTCTCAAAAATGGTTGGTATGTTAAGTATCAGTAGTTGTAACATTGACTATTTCCAAGTGCATTATTTGTGCTGCCATGGTTACTAGCTCAACCAGTCACAAAATTGCTGTTGACTTATTCTTGAATGCATACTCTAACAGCTACCATACCAATTGTCACCTCCAGGGGAATCAGCCCTAAACAAACAGGAAGAATTTAGCAGGAGCCTGCTATGGAGCCTCCTGGCTCATTAGGAATTTTCTTACACTTAGAGCATGGCTTACATCTGCCACCCAACTGCTGTCTTTAATTTTAAAGTAAAAGAATTCCCTTCTCCATTTAGCCTTGCCTCAAAAGACCACACCTCCATATTAAAGACTTGGCTGAGAAATGTTTACAGCCTTTTGTTCCCAGAAGTTTTTTCACTGGTTAATGTAAGGCCAAATGTTGAATTGCTGCCTTTTGGCAGAGAACTAGTAATTTTATAAAAAATGTAATATTTGTATCATGCAGTGCCATTTGTCATCAAATTGGTTATTCAGTAATTGATCAAAAAGCAGTTGCAGTTTTACTTTTAAATGCGTATTTTTGCAATGGTAGAAACTAGTCATAAGCAAATGAGGAGAATCTTGGAGTCAGCTCACAAGATTCCTGATTTTTTCAGAAATCTGCCCCATGCCTGGAATTTTGTCAGAGGACATGAGTAGTATGGCTCCCAGCACCCTGTGACTCCCCAGGCCCCCATGTAGGACAGGCCAGAGCCTCCTTGTGTTCCTGTCCCCCTCAATGTGAGCAGGTGTCCCTAAGAAGCATCAGGACACAGGACATTGTCCCCAATGAGTCAGGATCCCCCACAGGCCCCTGTCCTGCTCTGTCTGCTTGTTCAGTTCACCTGAAGCTCAGTCCCTCCTCAACCTTGACCTGCCAGTGTTATAGGGAAGCCCCGATATTGAGCGGGTTGCCTGGCTGTGGGTCCTCACCCGCGTGCTTAAAAAGGACTTAATAATACCCCACTACAGGCATACACAAAAGGTTAATAAAAGGTTTATTTACAAGGGAAAAGGAAATAAGGAAAATGTACAACTCAGGGAGAAAATAGGGAAATAAAGTCTTTAATGCGTCCTACCCGATGCGCCGACCTGGAAACCCAAAGGCACTCTCAGAGCTGGACGGACGCTGCTAGCTGGTGGAGAGCCAAAATGGGGGACCCCTCCAAAACCCACGTGTCTGCCTCATATCAACCTGGCTGCTTAACCCACCTTCAGGTCCCAGCCACCTTCCCTTTGGTGGTCATGGGATTTGGAGTTCCCAGTGGCTTTGGCTTTGACCTGGGGTGGGGGTGGAGTCCACAAAGCCTATATGGAATTAGCTTTGGGACATCCTTTCCCCCTAACACCAGGGCCAAGGACAAGGTTCTGCCCCAAACAGAGTGGGAGCTGGATCAGATCCCCACTGAGGGCTTTGTCTTTGTCCTTTCTAACTCTGGGACAGATTCTTGCCTCAGCGGGGAGTGACCCAGTGGGACAGAGCAGCAGAGAAGTGAAAAGGAGTCCTGGTCAGAGAAAATACCCTCTAACCAATTACTACCTGTGATACAGTTAACAAGTTTGTCTTTCCCTCATTTTTTGCAATTCCCCTTATCTAGCATCAACAGGATTGATGACTTGTCTTTCCCATTTGTTGCAGCTTCCCCTCCCCTTGGGAAGAAAAAAAAAGCTGGCGGCCACCGGTTTCCCTGTAGACCCTTCCCCCTCGCCCTAAGGAAAACAAGTTGGCGATCACCCGTCTCTGTGCCTTGACACCTTCCCCTTCCCTTAAGATGAATGAGCTGACACCCATCCATCTCCCTGTTGAGCTGGCGCCCACTTGTCTCTGTGCGGACCGCTTCCCCCTCCCCTTCGCGGACCCCTACCCATCTCCCCCTGTATAAATACCCCTGCCCGCTGCCAAAGAGCAGGACGGTGGTTTTTCGGACATGAGTCTGCCTCCCTCCTCATTTGTCGACAAATAAAACCGCTTTCCTTTTCCTCAAACTCAGTTTCCTTTATTGGCTGAGGGAAACTGAGGCCTGCGTTCGGTAGCAATTTTGGCGAGCCAGCCAGGAGGTGGATGCCACTTCGGCTCTCCCAACCCCAACTCTGACTTCCAACTGACAGAGCTGTTGCCCGCTGCAGCGCACCAGGGCTCACCTATCTATGCTGGTCTGTGCTGTCAGAGAGGGGCCTGGGCATCCCGGGTGGCATCCTGACCCTCCTGCTGAGAGGGAGCGCCCTCTCTCCAGGAGGATGAGGGAGAGTCCCAGCAGCTGCCGGAGTTCTTTTTCCTCCGGGGAACTTCCCAAGTCCTCCTGGGGAGAGGCACAGCTCTTCTCTGCACCCTGGATTTACCTTGAGGAGATGGAAACTGGATGGAAAACCGCGGTCCCCTGGCGTTTGGTTTCACACATTCGGGAGGAATCTGAGTCTCCTCGCGGAGGGAGTTCAGGTCTCCTCATTTGGGAGGGAGTCTATGAGTCTCCCTCAATTTGGAGCGCTCTTTGGTGTGTTAGGCCCGGTTGAGTGGGAATTGGGAAACATTTGGTGTTTTTGTCACTTGATATCTATTTGGTATTTGGTATTTGGAGTTTCCCGTTTGTTTTTGGAAGCCAGGGATTTAGTTAAACTTATGAGAGGTGCCGTATTTGTTCCATCTAAAAGCCCCTTGGGGAAAATATTAACTGAGTGGTCGACCTGTAGCTACAAACCTATGTCTAAGAAGCAACCCCTATCACGGTTTCCCTGTAGGAGCCCAGGAAAACTGATTGTGGGGAACAGACTGATTTTTTTTTTAGCACAAGAGCCAGGCAATATACTCTCCTTTTCCACATTGGCTGGCTCACCTGTGAGCTCCTTTTATCTATGCTCTGCTAAAATCTTACCCTGACATTCAGTGTCAGTCCAGATGCTTTGGCTTTAGGCAACCTAAGATTATTCTGACTCTTCTAGGACATTGGCAGATGGCTGGAAGGACTGTAATTGTTCCAGAGAGAAAACTGGGCTTGGACCAGGACTTCTACTTGATGTTGTTTTTGGAGTTAGTGGGTCTGGAGTGCGGGGTCTTTGGGTTCACTATGGGAAAGGTGTTGCCAGAGCTCCTGTTTCAGGGACCTGCAGCAAGCTTCCCAGGCCAGTTTCTCCACCAGACAGAGACATTAGTTATATTGAAAGGGCAGGTTTATTAGGGAAAGGGGACAAGGAAAGTAAAGGAGACACAAGCGGGCAGGAACAGCTGCCCCAGGAGGGACAGGTTTGCTGAGAGAGGCCTGCGTGGTTGCAGGTGGGTGGCTTTGAGGAGAGTGACCTCCGCTGAGGGAGGTCAGTGAGGAGAGGCCCCAGAGAGACAGGTCATGGGCAGGCAGGGAGGCTGCTGCCCTGCAGAGGGAGAGGGTTGGTGAAAAGAGGAAGCTACTTAGGCACAGGTGGGCAGACGGAGTGCTCTCCAGAGCCTGTGCAGAGATTGAACGGATATAGTTGTCTTCTGTTTGGGAGGGATTCGCCCCTTGTGAGCCTTCGGGTTAGTTGCTGATTCTGGATAATTATGTAGAATCTGAAAGTGACCAGAGATTCTACAATAGGCCCAATTCTACAATAGGCCCAATCTCCATATCTTTAAACCTGCTTGGGTGTTATGCTTTGTAATCTAGGCATTGGAGACTGAGGATCTTGTTTCCATAGCTGTGTCAATGGCTATGCTAATCCCTTCTACCCAGGCCTCCAGCTCTTGGCATTTTGTGAGCCAGGTTTTTGATCTTGTGGACACCTCTTTTTCAGTTTTTCTATTCTTGTCTTACCTTACCTTTTCCCCATTTTATGCAAATAGATTTGTGAATCTGATCTTTGTGCCTGTGTAAGGAATTCAAGCAAGTATCTGGAATCAGGTCTTGGATAATTTAAAAATTTGGTATTTTTCTGCTTTTTATGTTTTAGTCAGATACCTAACTCAGTATTTACCAGTCACTGTAATAATTGGATGTAAAGTAAGCTGAAGAGAGTGTTCTCCACTTTAAGGAGGTGTTTTCTTCCTCTAAATTTGCAGGCTTTTTCTGATCACGTGCTGAGACTTCTGGGATCAGGCTCAGATGGTTTTGTCAA